GTCTATCTATTTTTCCATAGAAAAAGGCTAAAAATCACTTCATTCTGTTGTAAATACATATCATATAATGAACAGATGGATGTGTGAACTTTGTGAAATGATGTTGTTATAGGAAAGTACTAATATCAAGCGAAATGAATGATAATGTATTGTTCACAATGTCCTGAATCGCTTTTTCTTTTCTAGTCATTAAGTAATAAAGTGTTATTGACAGTGCAAAAAGGCTTTATTCCTTTATTTACTCATAAATGTTGTCTCGAATGATTTCTGGTATTGAGTTCGTGGTATACTGACGCCACATTCACTCATCGATAGGAGCTTCAAGACATACATGTACTGTTTCAAGCTTCGGTTCGTTTTGGAAGTTCTCCTGTTGTCGGTCGCTTCAAAGGCTTGTAATGGAAGGGACCGATTCAGGGTACAATTTAGGAATCTTCCAAAGAATGTGATCATTTCGGTGAAAACAAACTTCTATCAGGTTGTATTGTAATAGAGGTACCTGCTGCACTCGCTTTGACCGCACTTCCCCGTTCTATAACGACGGTACGGAGCTTTATGTGACTCTGGGTAACGCTCGCTTAATAGTCAGTGCTTGGCGGTAGTGCCGACTGCAATCGAGATTCAATGCCTTTTATGGTTTCGTTCTTAGAAGGCGAGTGTCTTGACATACTGATGCATCGCAACACATTGAAAGACCCCCTCTCGAAGGGATGTTCCTCAACCCAACAGCCACAGTCCGTAAGAAAACAACCTGAAGATTCGAAAAAAAAAACAAGAAACCTAATCTAAGCCTAGTGTAACACTAGGAAAGAATGCTACCTATACATATGTGTTCAACTCTCTATTGTTATTATACGATAATGATTGACCGATAATGACGGAAATAAAAAACAAGTAGTTAATACATTAAAAAAGTTAGAACAATCGCCACAAGAGAGTACCACTAGAATGATAACATATTGTCAGAGACCTACGGTCCGGGCACGATGTCCACCTGAGTCGCGACTGTTGGCTTCGACTTCTTACGTGGACAAGAGAAACCTCGGCGGTTTGTTCTGTGGCGACGGTGAGGATCTTGACCCAAATAGTCCCCACACTCGATGATTAAAAATGACTGTAAACGAAAAGCGTGCGAACAGAGGACAGGAAAGGAGGTGGAATGAAATGGGAGGCTGTAACGATAGGTAACACAGGCAAACGAGTGTCGAAACATGAAAAGTTGGACGATAACGACGACAGAATTGGCATTCTAATAACGATGCCAGAGAGGACGATTGCCAAACGACATTTAAGTCGCTCTTTTCAAACACTCAGGGTACGGTGCATTCCTAGAGAGACACAACGCGCTGTAACGATAGGTAACACAGGCAAACGAGTGTCGAAACATGAAAAGTTGGACGATAACGACGACAGAATTGGCATTCTAATAACGATGCCAGAGAGGACGATTGCCAAACGACATTTAAGTCGCTCTTTTCAAACACTCAGGGTACGGTGCATTCCTAGAGAGACACAACGCGCGCCCTATCAGATGTCCTGTGAAATCGAACGAGAAGCGCCCAACGCCAAATGGTCATTGTCAAATAATTGTATAACATTGTTGTAAACTTACTTCAGTTGCGTAACTATTAACATTTTCGTACCTGGCATAGAATCACAGGCTACAGCCTTCTTGGATACATATCCAGCATTAAGCAACGACTAGCGCCAAAAGACGCACTGTAGTAAAAAATCAGTTTATGGCACTTCAATACCGTTGAGTGAAAGAAAAACCAGTCATCAAATGCCATCAGCCTCGACAACTGACTTCGAGTTCCAGGATAACAACTGATATCGCGGATACCTTCAAACCGAGGCCTCCAAACGCTATTGAAGTGTGATAACAGAACCCTGAACTTCCACAAAATTAAAAGCGCGGCTATTCGTCGAATACTGACTTTTCAAAGTTTGAATTGGAGACATTCGCTGAAAACGTGATATACGCCCAACAACAACAACATCCTCTGGAATTCCCGAAGAACTTTGTCCGCGAAAGCGAAAGTGGATGAAATGCAAAACCGTGCTGTACTGCGACACGAAGTTGAAACCTTTTCAAAGTAATTGTCAATATCCGACGAGAATCAGGCTTCCTAGGCTCCTTCAAAAACTCTTTTGTGCTGCTCAGTTGGACATTTTAAATCCTCTGAGCAGTTTTTGAGCCGTTTTGTTAACATTACCAGGCTTTGAAACATTATAACACTAATGTAAGTGTTTCACTTGCGTAAGTTACGCTTACATATAAAATTAAACGAATAGTCACAATAATTGAGTTCTATATGTGCTGTGTCACGGTAGAAAACAAACTTCAAGTTGGTTGACTCTCCAAATTCGACTAATGCTGTGTTGCCATCTAATACAAGGACTCAAAGTAGGGAGAATTTTTCAAATTACTTTTAAAAATAAAAAGGAAAGTAATCCATGAGTTATACCTGGAGAACAAAAATTAAAATATAAGCTATTGAAAATTCAAACTACGAAGATTGCAGCGATTCCAATTCGGATTCTCACTGCCAACTCAAAAATTGTCATTGGAGATGTACATATACTGCACAATGTACATACACTCCAATATCAAGGTTGCTTCTGGAAACAAACCGCTCCTGAATAAATCGAGTGATACCACCAGTCACCTACAAACTTCGTCAGCTATTGAAACTATCCTGCTGCCGAAAAAACATGGAAAAAATAGCCAACTATCATGAATACTCTGAGTTGAAGCTGTACCTTGTTGAAATTAAAAATCATAGAAATAAGAAAAATTTTGAATCTTTTCGTCACAAACTTGTTGTGAATCACAATATATCGAACATTCTACAACATTTCATTGTCACATAAGAGCTGATTAGCGAAAATGGTGGAACAAGAGGCAGCGCCTCTAATTCTTTGACCTTTTATCGAAACAGACACAACTACAGTTGCACTCACGTTTTCTATTCCACCCTGCGCTTCTCAATGCCTTGATAATAACTAAGCCCTTCTTGGCCGTTACATTTCTCATTACCGGAATTGTACCATTCAGGTAAAGTTAAGGGAACGAGGTTTCATTTCAGTGCACTAGGTAAACACATTTCAAGAATAATGTGAACAAATCTATTCTTAGTTTTCATGAATAACCAGTCGGTTCACCCAGCTGACGCCGACCTTCCCTCCTTCTTTGGCAAAGTTGTAGTAGTCGGTTAACTTTCTCCTCCTTCTTTGGAACAAATTATACTTTCCTGTACATAGTCTGTCACAGGACCAACAGGGCAGTACATATTGTATTCAGTGTAAGTCGGTGCTTACACTTTTAATTGAAAGTCTTCATCTTTTGCTCTCGTTCTCAAAAATGAATGCCTATGAAAACTTCAACTGTTAGGCAATCAAAGCTTTGTGTGGTACTCAGAGATGTTTCGAGTAATGACACTACAAGATCAGATGTCTTTATCAATGGACCTTCTTCCTCACAGACATATTATTAATTCAGTATTCTAGTTTACTGGCGGTCGATTAAGTTTTGTTGCAAATCATACATCGGGTAGCGGTCGTATTCTCATAGCAAAAAATGAACAAAATCCCCATCTGCTCATCGTATTGCCGCTAATGGGTCCCTATCACTGCACTTACCCCTCGAATTTGGCACCCTACTCTACCATTCCGTCTTATCGAATGAAACATACTAAACGGTCAAAGCTACATCGTAAACACTGAAGGGTTAGAATTTTGACCGGAAGGTCGTTCTTGCTCTCTTGGGCCCCTTATCTTCTCTTATCAGTTGTCATCGTTTCCTGCCAGCGAGTACCTACGATCCATTAATATCCTACATCACTTAGCAAAATGCAGAGTTTCCACTGTTAATACGAAAAGCTGTAATCCTACAAAATTCGAACTCTTTGCGTCCACGGGAACAGGAATTATGAATTTCCGCTCAGCCATTTATGTCGCGCAAACCCCTCCCCCTGTGGGCGGGGTCTGGTCCTGCTACCTGCCATGAGTGTCCATCGTACCGCCTGCACTCCTATCAAGTTTGAACGCTCTAGGTCCACAGGAACAGGAATTATGAATTTTCGATCAAACACCGACAAACCAACAGACACACTTAGCGAATTGTATATAGTAGGATTTTTTGATGCCACTCACTTTCTTCTAGAAGGGAAGAGGAATGAATGTTACGGGGAGTTTGAGTTCAGTTCAAGGAGGTGGTCCTTTTCCTGGAAAAAAAGCCTTTCCAGTTTTTCTCGGATTGATCATATGAATGTACTCTATCAAAGGCCTTTTTTGGCCAATTCCAGCTGCATTACCAAAACTGGTTTCAAGTGTTTTTCAGCGGCGGTTCGATGGATTCTGATTGGATGTTTGAGACCTTGGAGGTCTATTCAATTAGCCAAAAAAAGCAACAAAACTCATGTAATTATTTCATAAAACACCTTAGTCTCTGACTGCCTCCTATTTCACCTTTTCTTCCCTGTCATCGAGGCATGGCTTGTACATAACTTCACAATGATATTTGATTAAACCCTTAATGTCCTATTGATTGACGTCTTTCCATTGCAGCCATGGGAAAAAGCAAAAATTTCGAAATCGTAGCCATTCATGGTAAAACTCCAGGGTATGGTTACCAACGGGGTGGGATCAAAGACTCACCATAGTCCAATCTGCGTACAGTCCTTGATGTTTGCTGTTAAACCAAAAAACGTTTTCTGGAGTTTGTAATGCTCAAAAAACGTTGATTGATTTTCTGTCACTATCTTGATTCTGGCAAAAACAACTCTTTGGGTCTGTGCTTGCCGTATTCGTATCTCATGTAATTTCGTAGATAATTCTGAATGACTTCGCTCACCTTTGCAGTATATTGATTACAGTATATATTTGAGATATTCACCTGTAACGGCTCCTGAAAATCAGTGGTTGGAACACTACTTCGGTAATAAAACAACTCAGAATCCGTTGTTACCTCTTACGTGATCAAAGGTGAAAAGACAGAAGGCAGTCTGCGAATCAGAAGTCAAGGTCAAGATACTCCTTCCTTCTTTCTGAAGAGAGCCTTTTATCTCTTTACAGATTTGCTCCTTTTTCAGAAGCATATGTGATTTTTTCAGATGCTGTTATTGCTGTCGTTACTCTCAATCTCTTCTATCTGTAGCTCATTCAAAATACTTGTTATCAATCCGAAATTCGCCTATAGTCATATGAATTTTTTGGGGCAAGTAGCTGATACGTTGGTGGATGCTGGTCATGATGTAGTGAGTACCTTTTCGTCATCGTTTTTGCAAAATTGTATTTTTGTAGAGCTTATAGAATATGGACTGGATTGAGCTGATGGAAAGACAAAGTAAGATCCGAACGGAGGGTGTTTCTGGAAATTCGTCCACAGCTTACTCACTAACTATTATAGTTGAAGGTGTTAACGTTGATAGGTTCCGGCTCTAGCCGGACTTCTATACGAAGTGAAAGACTTAGTGAAAAAGCGGACTGGCTGAGAGGTAGTGATTAGTGAGACTGTACATTTAATATCGTCCAGTTTGAATGGTCAGAAGGAGAATCACGAAGTGGCATTACTACTATTTCACAGACCACTGTGCGACCTGGGGTACAGAGTTTAAATAGTGACTGTTAGCATCAAATGATATCGCGGTGATGAAGGTGTCTTGAACGTGACCACCGAAATAACAGCCCTTATGTTCTGCGCTCCCCTTGTGCGCGATAGTCTATACTGACCATCGCATCCATCATCGTTACAAATACTTTGTAAAAGTTTAGGTCACACTGCAGCCTTTGATGAGCACACTTTTCGCTAGCAACGGAACTACCAAATCTCGTCTCATTCAAGTGGGCCCGTCCGCGGAGCTCAACGAGTTGCTTCGTATACATCATGCAAGTGCAGTGAAACAGGATATATGGACGAGCAGCCTGAGGAACCCCTTTGCACTACTGGCGGTACGTATTCTCTTGGCTCACCAAGAAAAATCTTCGACCAAAAGAAAAACATTTTGGATTTATTTCCGAAATTTTCCAAATAAAGAAAGCAACAGCCTTTGGAAGGCTAATCGGAAAGGGCAACCGTCCAGAAGTACGGTTATGAGTCACCTAGAACCAAGTGCCATGTATATTTGATGAGTCTCTGAAGCGAGTTTTTGATGTGTGATGCCCTTCGGTAGGTACCTAAATGGTGGTCTTGGATGTCTTTCTCCAATCGCGTAAACCAAATGCTGGGGTTCATGGGGGTAAGCGATAGCTTTGACTATCTAGCCTATGTTGAGCAACTCATAGTGGACGAGTCCCTCCGAGCCCCACAACACTGTGAGACGATGTGTGCTTTACTTGGGAGGCTAATATCTCCTGCAGTCAACTAATCGTTGACCGTGGATCGGTGAACAGTGCTTTCAGCTTGGAAGCTATTGTTCATTTCAGCTGCTACACACCCGTTTTTCTCTTGAAACGATGATGGCAGAATATTGTATTGTTTAACCACTGATGGTGAAGTTGCTCAAACTCTTGCTGTGCCCTTATTTACTCATCTGTAGATGCCTGGGGTATGCTTTAGAAGTTTATCAGCCTTGCTAACGTGATCACATTGTTTGTACTGGGTTTCGAACCCTTCAAAATTTGGGTCGAAGTAAATTTTTTTGTCATTACAATGAAATTGATTTATCGTGTCAACGTTGCAACTAGTTGGTTGTCTTCTATTTCAGTTCACGACGTCTATAAATGACATTATCTATAGGACAACGCTAGGTGGGTAACCGATGAAAGACTGCTTTGATTATAAGATGACGTATTGCATGGAGTCAGATATTTTACAGACTTGATCAGCAATGAGAAGCTGTTGCAACAGCTGAAAGCAGAGAAATTCGACGTTGCCATCACTGAGCTGTTTGAGTTTATCGGCTTCGGTAGGTTAAGCGAAACTCGTCATTTGGTCGTCTTCTATCGAGCCTGAGCTTGTGAGCCAGATGTTTTCTAAACTTACTTGCTTTGGTTGCCGATAATATGATGCTTGGCCCTAGGGCTAAATAGGTCTCATGAGATTATCTCCACTTCTGTCTGCGTGTTGATGTGGAGTATGGTACATGAGGTACAAGTGCTTTCGAAAAAGTGAAATTTTCTGCGCAGAAAGAGTTTTATAAATATTTTTCTGAAATCGAAGCGATTGAGTAAGGTTCTGCAAGTTATCTTTGCAGGGGTTCTGGAAGCCATAAATATCAAGAATATTATTGGAGTACACACTATCAGATCTATGATGGAACGTGCATCTATTGAAATAGGCAATCCTGTAATTCCCAGTTATGTACCAGGTGATCAACCTCATTATGTATCACTCTATTATATTTTATTTATCATATATTTTGCCTTTTTACTGCTCTTGCTTTGGTAAGCTGAAAATTGGCCACTTTGAATTTCTTTAAATCACTCGTTATTTCTAGCATTAAGGACGCTGTCCGGGCAACTGAGTGAGATTTTAGTATCACTAGATCATTCGCAGACAGGGCAGCTTAAAGGCACAGTTCACGATAATTTTGGGGTATCCGGTTTTTGGCGAAATTTGACAAAAAATTGTTGGATACGGCCTAAAATAGTGCAATGGTAAAAGGGAAAACGCGAAAAAAGATGAATATAAAGAAATAGAGAACTACAAAAAGCAAGGGAAAAGGGGGTCAGATGAGCTACATGGCGAAAAAAGGCGATATGGGGTTTTTGGGGGACGGTCAAGTCGTGCGTCCAAGGGTGCGCGCGGCAAATTGCGTGGCGAAACCCATACCTATTCTGACGACTATAGCGCCTATTATTTGGGACCAATTTCGAAGTACAGTAGAATAGTAGGATCAACTGACCTCACTAATCTCCCTTACTTCAGATTTGGGCCCCAATGATTAGCACCGGAGTCGTCCAAATTCACCACGAACTTCGGACGCACGACTTGACACACACCCGGGGTTTCTCGGGCGAGTCAGACAAACGCGACGCAGCGTCTGCAAGTACACACAACACACCAAAACAGCTGATTTTGGCTTATTCATTAAAACTAATTCTCCTACCGCTATTAAACTGATTTATTGTGCAGTATCAATTTCTACCCTTTGACGAAGGCTGAGAAAAATTAATTAGAACAGAATAGCGTAGAATGTAGTCGAATACTAGAAAAACAGCCGAATAGTAGTCCCAGTACGAGGTGGTCGACCAGCAGACCGTCTGCGGGCAATTTGCCAATCAGCCTATCGATTTTTCACTAATGTTGCTCCAATGCGAAAGTGCTGAAGGACAATTAGAACTCGTAGCCAACCTAGCGAGGGGCGGAGGTCTCCCGTCCCCCTTATTGTTCCCTATCCAGACCGTTTTCGGACCTCATTCCTGCACAAGTGGTATCGGAGGAGCATCGAATTCAAACCATGTGCAAATCTCCGAAACCACTTCTCCGTGAATTGTGCCTTTAATCGGTTTCTAAGCTTTTATTCACGAATTCGTTGATGTATTTAGTTGATGTTTCAAATCGCTTACATAAGTCGCCATATGGCCTTCTACTTGCCTCCTCTACACCGTTTCAAAACTCATGGAAGTTTCGCGAGAGCACAAAGTGCCGTTATGTCCTACGTTCATCGATTTAAAAAAACCTTCGATACCGTCGAGCTAGAGGCGGCGATTGAAGCCCTGGGCAACCAGGGTGTTCCTACTCAATTTATATGGCTGCTTCGTGAGCAACACAACACCTTCACGACCAGGATCTCGCCATTCTATAAATAATTCATGATCAACGTGAAGAGGGGGATTCGACAGGGCGATACATCTCGCCCAAACCATTCGGTGCCACCTCAAGAACATGCGCCATATGGAATGGGAAAGCATGGGAGTGAAAGTCGCCGGCGGCTACTCACATCATCCTTGATGCAGATGTGCATCACAGATGACATCGTGCTTATAACACTAGGCAAAGAGCAGGCGGAACAATAGCTGGCCGAGTTCGACAACGCTGTGGGAAGATCGGATTAAACCTACGAAGGCAGGATGAGCGCGCAGTTAGCGTTGTTCAACTCGCTGTGGAAAGGACGATGTTCGGAATTCCCCTGTACACGCGAGTGCAGGAAGGGATCCGGAGTTTCGAGCTCCGTCGACGAACGAAAGTTAGGGAAGCCATTGATTACGCCAAGAAATCGATAACAGATGAGCCGGACACGTCATGCGACATAGTGATGACCGTTGATCAGGGGCAGTTACGGACTTTATCTCTCGAGACTTCAACCGAACTTCAGGACGGCCGCCGGCCCGATGATCAGATTCCTTCGGAATTGAAAAAGTGTTTTGCTTTGCGTCCTTCGAGCTCGACGATTCACCGGACCACTCGCGACAGGGACGAATGAAGACATTATGGCGTCCCTTCGAGGAAATCGCTCATCAAAGGGACGTCAAGTGACACTAGATTGGACAACCGAGCTAATAACAAGAGGCAAATATGGTCCACCTGGTGGCATTTGAATTCAGAGGCCTTCTATAATAAGCATCTATGGAACTTGAACTACTTGACTAATTAAATGATGTGCCTCAGGATTTTCTGCACCTTGGCGGTATTTTCTATAAATTCAAACCGGGTTTTTCGGATTTCATCGTTCATTCATTCACATAGGCATTGTTTGTACAAAAAGTTTTCCAAAATAAAGTTCAAAATAGTGAAAACATAACACTTTTTATTAAATTTGCTCAAGACGGGAATTAGTGGAGAAGTCTCGCAAAATTTGTCGCCTCATGAGAACGACTTCTATTTGCATCAAAACCTAAAATGAGGTAATTGATCGTCCAGAAACGATAGCCTACCAACCTAACGATCATCTGATAAAGAGCAAAAGTTCAGTTTGTTTCAAACGGCCACTTTCCTAGACTCCAATGGGCTGGAAGTTTGGCGTCGCAGTGGTGCTATTACATTGCTTGACGCATAGTTTAACTTTGTTGAAACTTCACTTCACTCCGCTTTTTTACAGGATTTTTTGTTGTTTTTGTTGTCCTCCAGTGATGTTCTCTGATTTCCATTTTTGTCTTCGTAATCGGGCTCAGTTGATTACTCGGTACCGATCGTATTTAAGTTCTTTACTGGTTATATTGAAGGCCAGTGCTACGATAAACTGTGGAAATCGGGCTGCATCTCAATGCAGCTCTTAAAGACACGATTCACGGTAAAAAAGGTAACTGAGTTCTCCCTATAGGAACACCCAGCGCCCCTCATGGTAGAAGGGACCCTCGAGCCCTTCGGGAATAGTAGGAGCCACGCTGCTGCCGTCGTTCGCTTTCCCGCCCCTCGATCGATGTTACGTTAGACGAGTGTCGATACAATATTGTGTGTGGGTCCTAGAACAACAATTTGTTCTAGGACCCACACACAATCAGCTGGTCGCCGAGTGATGAGGCGATATTCTAGGACCCACGCACAATCAGCTAATCGCCGAGTGATGAGGCGATGCTTTTCTCCCATTCCTTTTTCCCTCCGTTTTTCTTTTTGCTGCTGCGATCCCTTATTCAATTTC